GAGGCAAGAATTATATTAATACCATAACCAGGGAAAGATACAACTAAGAAAGAGAAGTACAGGCTAATCTCCCTCATGAACATAGATGCCAAAATCCTCTATAAAATCCTAGCAAATAGAATACAGCTAATCATCAAGAAGAGCATACACCCAGACCAGGTAGGATTCATTCCAGGAATGCAAGCTTTGTTCAATATTTGAAAATCTATAAATGTAATACACTCTATCAATAGAGCAAAAACTAAAAACCACATGATCATCTCCATTGATGCAGAAAAAGGCTTTTGACAAAGTCCATCACTCATTCACGTTCAAAGTCCTACAGAAAATTGGAATAGATGGCCTCTATTTCAATCTGGTAAAAGCCATTTATCAAAACCCAATGGCTAAAATGGGGAAAAACTGAAATCCTTTACTCTTAGATCTGGTACAAGACAAGGATGTCCTGTATCACCACTCCTATTCAATATAGTTCTGGAATCATTAGCTACAGTCATTACACAAGAGAAGGAAATAAAAGGAATAAGAATAGGTAAATAAGAAGTTAAATTATCTTTATTTGCAGATGACATGATATTTTACTTGGAAGACCCAAAAAACTCCACCAAGAAGCTACTAGAATTAATACAGAAATTCAGTAGCATAGCAGGTTATAAAGTCAATACACAAAAGTCAACAGCATTCCTCTACACAGACAACAAACACACTGAGAGGGAATTTATAGAAACAATACTTTTTACAATACCACCACACAAAATGAGATACCTTAGAATTCATCTAACTAAAGAAGTCAAAGATCTTTTCAAGGAAAATTAGAGTACTCTGAAAAAAAGATCGTAGAGGATTTCAGAAAATGGAAGATATTCCGTGCTCCTGGATAGGAAGAAACAACATTGTGAAGATGGCCATACTGCCAAAATTGCTGTGCAGATTTAACACAACCCCTATCAGACTACCATCAACATACCTCACAGAGGTAGAGAAATCATTCCTAAAATGTATCTGGAACCAGAAAAGACCTAGAATAGCAAAGGCAATCCTGGGCAATAAAGACAAGGCAGGAGGCATTACTATTCCTGACTTGAAATCATACTACAAGGCTATTGTGATAAAATCAGCATGGTACTGGCAACAAAATAGACCTGAGGATCAATGGAATAGATCAGAAGACACTGAAGCCCCTATGAACACACTCAGTCGCCTTATCTTTGACAAAGGGGCCAAATATACTCATTGGAAGAAAGATAGTCTCTTTAACAAATGGTGCTGGAAAAACTGGTTCTCTACATGCTGAAAATTCAAACTTGACCCAGGTCTATCACCATGCACTAA